GGGGGGGGGGGGGAGAGGATCAAGCTCAACCAAAGCGCAACAAGCGTACATTTTTGTCTCCCACGGCGACGTGATAGCTCGGTATGGGTTTTCTGCGCACGTAGATGAAGCCAACAGCAACCAGTCGACAGCGTCAACAGCCACTCCTCCTGCGGGACGTGTCTGGTTCTTTCCCACCGGGGTGTCTCTTGGCAATATACGTACAGGAGCCCGGGCCAGATGTCGTGGTCACGCCTACATGTGACGCATGACGCAAGCTTATCCCCCACCAAGTTCGCAGGCCGCCGGGTCTTGTTAGTAGTAGTAATGTGTACAAGTACAAAATAGAGAGGGGTGTTTCGTATCCCCCCTAATCTTATCCCCCACCCCACACGCGCCCTACATAAAAAAAATCTCAAAATATCCTCGCCAACGCTACTGAGCGTCTCTGTCCTACTGCTGTAGACCTCCCCCCCCTCTTCTGGGAAAGCTTGGGGAAGGGACGGGCCTCGCTCTCTGGGCCCTTTCGTGCGTATAGTGTATTTCTTCACCGGACGAAAAAGAGGAGAAACGGCGGGGCCAGGAAAAATTTGTCGACCTTGACTGCGAAGTTGACCTCGGAGTCGCGAAATCCATCGTGTGCACAGCATGGTCTTGCGTAATGTAGACGCGTTGTACTTCCAAGTTGGGGTGCACTGTTTGCTCTTTTGAGGGAGGGAGGGACGCACTTGGGGCCATGAGAACAAGAATCATTTCACACCGTCGATTCCCGACACGCAGAAAACATATATATGTATGTATGTATGCATACGACTTTTTTTGGGGAGGAGGTGTACTAATGTACACGCGTGCCATGTAGTCGTTAGACCATTCACCTCGCATCCGTACTATGCCGGGACGGAGATGCGCCGGGTTTTCGCTCGCCCAGGCTACGTTTCAAAAGGATGAAGCAGAAGGTGGTCATCCATCCTTGCTGGTATTTGTCCCCTCTCCCCCCCCTCCCGATAATTCACGTGTCTCTTGTTGATTAACCACCACCGTACTCTGCAACAATTGCTCACCAACCGACCGACGGTCGGACGGCGCGCAGGTCGCGAAGGTCGAGGGGGAGTACTCCGAGGTGGTGGAAACGAGCTGCGGGAGCTCGGCGATCTTGGTGGGGAGCACGGTCTACGAGCTCAGCGGCGTTGACTTCGGGGGCAGGAGTCTCGGGGTAGCGGACCTCTCGGCCGATGACTGCGCGGGGGACGGAGTTATCCCGACCGCGCCCTCCGACGCGGATTGCTACAGGTGGGTGGGGAGCTTCGCTGTGTGTGTTTTTTTTTGTGTTTGTGTTTGTGCGTACCTTCCTTCTCTTGGACAGGTTGTAGGGATTCCGTGTGCGGTAAACGGGCGCGGTCGTGGGTCGAGCGTGTGTTGTTGCCTCCTTCACTTCGACGCAGTTTGTGTGCTGCTGCTGCTGCTGCTGCTGCTGCTGCTGCTGCAGGGCTCCGTTTGTGTGTGGTGGGCGGATGGATGGATGCGAAGTGTGTGTGCCCTGCCTCTTTTTTTCTTGCTTGCTTCTTGTTTTTCTCGCTTCTTGTGGGTTTTTCGCGGTGCTTTCAAGTATTCTGTGCTAACCCTAACTCTCTCTCTGGGTTGTGTTCTAGTTGTTGTTGTTGTTGTTGTTGTTGTTTCTCACATTAGCTCTATTGTCCACAGTGCTTCCTCCCGGTGTTGTTTCGCGGAAAAGACTTCAAGACACAGAGAAGAAAAACAAGAACTTTCCCCTGCTGCGTTGTTCTGGCCCTCTTCCTTCCCTACTTCCTTCCTGCCCCCCTTCGTTTTCTTCGGGGCGTGTAACGCCACGGTGTGATGTAGCATGCGGCTTCTTCGTGTGTCCGTTTTTTTTTTTTGTGAGGTGGTGATGCCTAACGGCCACGGACGTCGTCATGACTACGGCTAGTGTGGTATTGATCAAGGATCCCTATACACACAATTTGAAATGATATCTCAGGCACGCCTTCGATTCACAAAAACATGCTGTACTGGTACCCGTTCTGCAATAGCAGCAGTTCTTCACCGTGATGATGATGATGATGATGATTGTTAACTCGTTTTCCTTGCTTGCAGCGGAGAGTCCCCCATAGACGTGGAAGGCAGCACGGGTGCGGAGCTGACCTTCTGCCACTGCAAATGGAACGAGGGCGAGAACGTCGCCAAATACGCGGTGATTGCGTAGATTTTCGATTTCCGTTTCGACCTTGTAGCATTGTCTCATCTCATCTCATCTCCTTTTTCCGTCGCTTCGATAGTTGGGACCCTAGCTAACCCAGCGCTTCCGTTTGCATTCCACGTCACTCCTGGGGGGGCCGTGTTTTCGTTGTTTCACCGTCCTTCCTTGGTTGGAACACGTTTCCTTGTAGGTCGACGAGGAGATGTTTCTTGTTTTTCCTTTGTGCTTCTGGAGAACGTATTCTACATAAAACAATCAGTTTTTTTTGTGAATGAGTTGCAGACTGCTGCTGTACATGCAATCAGTTTTTTTCATGTGGATGATTTATAGACTGCCGCTGTAGGCCACCCAGGTTGTCGGGCTGAAACGGCCTCCCTGCAGCGTGCAGGACACCAAAAACAGAGATAACGGGAAGGGCTGTCAGTACAAGGGCGGGTCTGGTTGGGCGAACGCCAATCTTGCAATCCGACCAGCTTCTGCTAACGACCCAAGAAACCCCCCATGTTTGAAGACCGAGGTGCTCATGGGTACCCCCCTCCACCGCCGCCGCCGCCGCCGCCGCCGCGGCTTGCAGTCCTCCGTGCCTACTCTGCCGGCTGCCTGCCTCACTTTGACCCGATCCCACCCGACCCGGCCTCATCAAGACGAACGTTAGGGCATCCGTCAAGGACTACGTTGACATCTCGGTTCCGGACAGCGGGCTCGTGATGTGCCAGGATCAGGGAGTATTTTCCCAGCTGGTGACCGTCTTGGCGGATGTGAGAACGGGGGAACACTGACCGCGCACACCGGCATTTTATGTTCGAGGAATGCTGTGCAGACTGCTGTGGTAGGCCCGCTGCCCCTTGCCTTTTTGGGGAGGCGGTTGCGGTTTGGAGAGAGTGACAGGCGCGAGGCGTCGTCGCGCTCGATGCATACGCTGGCTGCATTTGTTCGTGTGAGTGTTGGGGATGGTATCGGAGCTGTCAGACTCCCCTGTCCATACCCAGCAACATTCGTCTGTTTTGTTTCCCTCCCGTCTTTCTCATCTGCCCCCCCCCCGCCCCCCACGTCTGGTTCCATATCTGATGTGTCTGTCTATCTGTCTGTCTATCTACCCGCCTGTCTGTCGGTCTGTCTCTTTCCGTCCCCTCGTCCCTCACCCCGCTCTATGCCCCCAGGACTCGTCGTTTTACTACCTCTTCGACCTCGACGTTCCCGGTTACGAGAGCGCGGAAGACCTTGTCGTGTCTTCTGGCCCTTCTAGCGACGCTCAGGCGCTCGCCTGCTCAGTAGACGAGGAAGGGGATGATGATGATGATGGGGAGGAGGAGGAGGAGGAGGAGGAGGAGGAAGTGGAGACCCCTTCGCCGACGACGGCCGTGGAGGAAGAGCCGCAGACGACGCCTGCGCCGGTGACGCCCGAGGAAGCGGTGGAGGAAGTCCCGGTAACAACCCCCGCCCCGTCGTTGCAGGTAAGGTCACAACCTCGCCCCCCCTCTGTATTATGCATGCCCCGGGCGGTCCGAATCATACAACTGTTGTGGGTTGGGTATGCCCCCCCCCCAACTCTGTGTCGCCCCTCCCGGACGTCCGCCGGCGTCGCTGTCCGCCCTTGCAGCGCTTCCTCCAAGGCAGCAGACAGAGCGAGGGAGAGCCTTCCTGTTGCTGTTTAGTTTTCATCGATGAAACCGACGACTCTCCAACCGTAAGCATGCCAACCCGACCGACGTGAAAACCTGGGAGATGGGCTACACATTTGCTACTCCCGCTGCCACTGCTGGTGCTGCTGGTGCTGCTGCACTGCTGCTGTATCTGATGCTGCTGTATCAGCTGCTGCTGCCGTTTGTCGGTTGACGTCGCCCCTCCCTTGCCCGTGCCCGATGCTGCTGCTGCTGCTTGCAACAGCCCGACTCCAGCACGGCCGGCCAGGGCGCCACCTCTTCGAGCACCACCGCCGCCCCGGTCGAGGTCGATACCCCGGCACCCACGCCCGCCTCTCGTGGATTAGGAACTCCCGCGCCTTCGTCGGCGGCAGTCGATGCTCCTCCCGCGCCGACCCAGGCTCCCGTAGCCGCCGCTGTCCCCACGCTGCCCCCCGCTCCAGCCACCGCGGCTCCTGCTGCCGCTGCGGCTGCCACCGCGGCCCCTGCTGCCGCTGCGGCTGCCACTCTGCCTCCGACTCCTCCCGCTGTTACCCCCGGCCCGACGGTCGTCCTCTACTCAGGTGACAAGGTCAAGGGTTGAGGTTGTTGCTGCTTTTACGGATAGGCGGCTTTGTCGTCGTCAGTGTCGCACTGCAGTTGTGTGACATACCGTTTTTTTGTTGTTGTTGTTTTTCGTTGTGGTAGTGTTTTTGTTTTGCCCCATTTTTGCCTCTATTGTTCAACGATCTCGGCAAGCGCTTGCAGGAATGGTCTGTGTATGTGGGGTGTCGCTCTTGCCTTTTGTGTGGCAGACTAATGGAACCGTGGGTATGAGAGGCCATTTTGCATGGTTGCGGTGGTGAATGAAGGTAATTGTTGTTTTCAGATTTGGCTCGAGATGGTGCAAGCTTTTGCAGCTCCTCGTGACGACGAGCGCCCGTCAGGATGCCGGTAGGGTTAGGGTGAGGGTTAGGGTTAAGGTTGCTAGTGCTTGGTAGTGACGTTGAGGACGTCGATCGTGTTGTTGTCCACTTGCTGGCTTTCAATGCTGCACCCGTGTTTCGGTTCATGCTGCTGCTGTTGCTGCTGCGTATGCTGGTGCCGACGCTGGCATGGCGATAATGCTTCGCTGACGGATGATTATGGCGACAACGACGTTCCTCCCGCTGCTGGCTGTGGGGGCCAACAGAGACGCTAGCGCCCTTGACCGAAGAGGGTGAGGTATCCGTTGATGATGAGAGAGCTTGCTTTTGCTTGAAATGCGCGGCTCGCGCAGACGTTGTTGAGTTGTTGGCTGTATTCGTGCGATACCTTTTACGTGTTTCTCTATGTGCGAGGGGGGTGAAAATTGGCCTACCTTAACAACGATGTACTCGGGCGTAGTATGTGCACAGAATGACCTCACTTTCCTTGTCTGTTTCTATTTTCATTTCTGTACATGCTCGAAGAGCTGTTCTTGCGAGTCGTAAACTCGAGGTGTCTAGCGTGGGCTGTCCCTGATTTTTGCTTGAAATCCTTGTGGGTAAAGGTAGGTCTCGACTCTTCCCTTCCCCCCTCCCCCGTCGCCCGTGCGTATCATGCGGCTTCGGGGTTGACATGGCCGCTGTATGCTACCCCCTTTCCCCCCCTCGCGTTTGTTGTTTTTGGGTGGTCCTCTTCCCCGTGGCATAGAACTAGCCCAACGTCGCTTGGCAACGATGTTGTAAAACAAGCCGCCCCCCCCAGGTGTTTGCCATCGGGGTTGGGTTTCGTCGCTTGGCAACGACGTTGTAAAACAAGCCCACCCCCCCGGTGTTAACTATCGGGGTTGGGTTTTCGTCGCTTGGCAACGACGTTGTAAAACAAGCCGCCCCTCCCGGTGTTTGCCATCGGGGTTGGGTTTTCGTCGCTTGGCAACGACGTTGTAAAACAAGCCGCCCC